GTGTAAGGGCAGAAAGAGTTGGGGAAGAAGTTTATATTTAAGAACGGGAGAGTCTTAAAGTGAGTAGTAGTAATGGTTAAGAGTTAGTTATGTGTAGACGTGAAGAATTTTTAATGTAAAAAGAAAAATGCAAACTAAGGAACACAAAAGAAAAACAGAAGAGCTAACTTAGTTACATGCCAACCACTTATCTGGGTGAGGAAAAAAATAAATTCTGAGGCTTGCCTATTAGTAACTCTTCCTCACTCATGATGATAAAAATAGTTGTTTCCAATCTGAGACACACCCATGTGACTTACTCTGTGATATTACCTTCTCTTAACTATAATGTGAATGGGACTGTAGGGTTCTAAGTACTGCACCTTTTATGGTAAATTTGGCTAATGAACCCTATCATTCTTTTCTTAAAAGTCACAAAGTCTTTTAATGAAAGTCCCTCCTAAACTAACTGCACTGTAAAATTTGTCTGAATCTTGAGGATTTTATTTTTCCTCTAAAGTAATTCAGACTAAAACTATAACATCTAACAAAGATTTATCAGTATTAGACATGTACATTGAATCCAAGCTGTTGCTTTTTAAATGACAATATTCACTTGCACATACATACCATCAACTGCAGAGGGAGCTAATGCCTTTTTCCTCAGGCTCACAAGAAAAGGCTGCAGAGCTGGTATTTTCATTTCTCCCTACGCCTGTTAAGTGTGATTATTGATAATGTACTGAGCTCATCTCTGCACCCAAAATTAAGCCTCTAAAACATATATGAGGTGTAACTGGGCTTTACAACAAAGAGGAATCTAGTTTCCACTTTTAAAATAGTCTCCTGAGGCTCTCAAAAGGTGGAGGATATATTTTAAAAGGAAAGAATTGTGTTTTGTAACAAAACATGATTTTTGGAGTCATGACCAATTAGGAATCTACTCCCTGCAACCATAAATACTTTTTCATAGAATATAGTGACCAGAGGCCACATTGGGCATGGGGACTTAATATGTAGAGAATTTTTATGGTTAATAAATGCCACAATCTCAGCCTCTTTTCTTCTAGATATTGGAAGGAAAAGAATAATTAAGTGAGCATTTAGATCCCAATAAAAAGTTAACATTCTCATTAAATTAAAAATATAAGTGAATTTATTTTATAGAAGTTTCATAATGGGTCGAAAATACTTCGTTAAGCATTTCTGGATAAAAATATGTAAAGCTCTTATAAGCTTTTGTTAATATATTAAATACCATTTCTCTATAAATATACCTTATAGCTTTCCTGTTAGAGTTTTCAGGAAACATTTCAAATAAAGTAGCCAGGCGTATCCCATTTGAGATGAATGAGATCATTAGGAAACACTTATATCTGAAATAAGCACTGAGATCATTCTGCATACAACCCAAGGGCCCTAATTTTTAAAATATTTCAAACACCATGCCTCTTTCAAATCATTAGACTTAGAGACATTTAAGGAACTGGTTCAATTAACTCAGAAGAAGGAAATGCTATAATGTGTGATTTATTTTTGCAGATAAATTAAAATGCAAGTGTTTCTGTTAGAAAAGGTAGGCTGTCATCGTGGTTAGTGATGGGAACAGGAAGGCAATTAAGCAGGGCCACCTGAGGCTGAAATAGCCCCTAAACACGAAAGATTGAAGTTCACGCTGGATATTCAGTTATTGTCAAAACCAAAAGTGTTCCTTCATTGGAAGGAATCTTTGTGCTCTACTTAGTTTCCCTCATTGACTTCTAAAACATGTTTCTCAGTTTAACAAATAGTTTTCCCCTTTATAATCAGAAGAGAAGCCTAAATTGCTATGGTTTCATACCTAAAGTCAAGCTTCACATAAAGCTGATGCCTGAAAATTACAACTTTGCAGTTCTACTACTTAGGTGAGGAAATGTGAAGCAAGAATTTATTTTTCTCCCTACAACCCCAAGATATTGGCTCCACCAGGCCTAATAAAATGTTTCCACAAGGAAATAAAGAGAGCATGCTGTAGCTTGTGTTGCCTTGTGCAGGGGGTTTTAAACAAATGTATCCTAAAAAATAGATAATTACAAGTGGGGGAGGGTGGGAGAAGGAAACATTATAAGGGTGGGCCAAAAATACGTTTCTTAGCCAAATCACAGAAAAGACTGAAATTCAAAATGTTAGAAACCTGAAGATAAAGACTGCTACTTCAAGCATTGTTGAAATCTATGGAGGAAATGAGAGGACAACAAAACAAGATGATAAAAGAGAGAGAAGAGGAAAGAAGAAGAATGTGAGAAGAGATTTTAAGGCAGCTTTGAAAGTAACAGCAGAATAAATTCTACTAACAGAAACCAAGAAGACTGAAGAATTTATAATTCACTATTCTTTTCTGCTGAATCTTGTCCCGCATCTTGAATTAGAGTTTGGACAAAAAAATGGCCACAATCATGAGCTGAAGATAGGGGGAAAAGAGAATGATCATGCAAAGAAAAAAAAATCTTAGAAATCTATGAACAGAAAAGTTTATAGTAAAAGATGGGGAAAAGTGAAACAAAGCTTAAGATCAGGAAGAGAAAATGTCCCTCAGTCAGAGAGCTTAGGAAAGTGACCTTCATTTATGGTTGAAGTAGGCAGCGGAAATGGAAATGTTTAGGAGAAGAAATGTTTTGGAAATGTTTAGGAGAAGAAGCCAAGAGATCCTCACTTTCTTGCCTGAACAAGGAGGGAATCTCTTATTACTCTTCCTCACTGTGTAAAAAACGCTAATAATTCTATCATCCTGTTCCTTCCAGCCATGGTGATGGAACTGGAGTTAGCACACCAGAGGTAGGTCAAGGGTGAACACCCTGTCTTATACTTTGCAGAGAATATAAATCAATGGTTTCTGGTTTGTGAGTCTTTCTTTTTTTTAAATTTTTTTTAAACTTTATTCTATAAATTTATTTATTTATGGCTGCATTGGGTCTTCGTTGCTGTGCATAGGCTTTCTCTAGTTGTGGTGAATGGGGGCTACTCTTCGCTGCAGTGCATGGCCTTCTCATTGCGGTGGCTTCTCTTGCTGTGGAGCAAGGGCTCTAGGCGCGCGGGCTTCAGTAGTTGTGGCACACAGGCTCAACAGTTGTGGCACACAAGCTTAGTTGCTCTGCAGCATGTGGGATCTTCCCAGACCAGGGCTCGAACCCGTGTCCCCTGCATTGGCAGGCGGATTCTTAACCATTGCGCCACCAGGGAAGTCCCTGTGATAGTCTTTCTTGACAATATTCATTTATCAGTTTAATTTATACAGGTTTCCCTTTTCTCTTCCTCAGAATCTTTTGATGACTTGTCCTTCTCAGTGCCTCAAGAATAAAGGCCATTACAACCTTGAGGCAACTGCCTTGCCAGCCTCATCTGCTGCTCCCCCAGCACCACTGATGTCCCGTAAAAAGCATTCTCACGTCTCTGCACCTTTGCTCTTGTGGACTCTTCTTCCTATACTGTCCTTCTCTCCCTTGTTGAAGCCTGACCTTTCTTTTAAGGCCTAGCTCAAAGGTCAGCGTCCCCAGAGAGCTGGCCTCTTCCTTGATGGGGTACCCAGATCATGTTGTTGATGCTCTTTTGTAACTTTTCCCCACAGCCTCTCATAGTCAGTGATCTCCCTCTCCATGGGGAAGGGCTTAAGCTCACTAACATCCAGGGCTGTCCATCTAGTTTGTAAACAAGTCTCTAGCACCTTGCCTTGCATTGGAAGGTACAAAAATGTTTGTAGAATTGTTCCACAAGCATCACTGATTTCCCTTGCTTCCCTCTTCTCAACTAACCTTACTTTTTATCTCTCAGTTGTATCTCTAACCCTATAAGGTTTTTATCTATTTCATGAACATATACTGTTATTATTAAGGCATAATTTTTGGCCATAGTGATCCCCTGTGAATTGAAATCTTGTAACTGCCTAAGCTAAGGTTCCTAGTTTCTCAAGAAAAAACAAACCAAACCAAAACAAAAACCCAATTCACTCTGGTAAACTTGTGTAGATACTCTGGGTTCTGAGAGGCTGGAAGTTATTTCTTTTGACTTAATACTAAAATGAAACATTTAGCTCTATTTCTACTGTTGTTTAGTATCCAAGCAATGAGCATAGGGCAGTTTTAGTTAGTGAAAGTATCTAAGGCAGGATCTTTTCTGGCTGACACTTAACATCCAAAGAATCAGTAGGCCTCCGCCAGGCTTACATTGAGAGTGAGGAAGGGAAGCGACCTATAAAGGTCTTTTTATCTAGACCCCAGATTTAGCCCATGGAGCCCAAAGCCCATTCTGACATGGGGTGTCTGTGTTCTTGACGTAGACCTACATACTGACCTCTAGCGTCCCACAAACTAGAAGATCTGTTGGAGCTACAGAAACGCTTAAATTAGCGGGGGTATAAGTATGGGAGCTCAACCCCAAAGGGGCAATTACGTGAGAAGCCCAGTGTCTGGAGGGATGATAGCTGTTAGCGTGAAGAACAACAGAAAAGCAAAACTGGTGTATCCTTGTGTGTTTGGGGGCGAGGAGAGTACGGGCTGGAAAGAGGGATGCGAGAAAGACCAGAGGGGTCAATGCAACTTGCAACTCCCCAGAGCGTACCAGGACCAAGGCTCCATCCTCCCAGCGCAGCCCAGACCGCCCGGGGTGGTCCCGGCCAGCAGAGGGCAGCAGCTGGGAGGGAGAGTCCTGGCGAGGGCCGCGCGGCGTCGACAGGCTCGCGGGGATACTCATTTTGAGTGTGGGGCGACCCTATCCTGTGGCCACGGCGCGCTTCGGGCCGCGTTTCGGGAAGTGCGTGTGCGCGGGGACTGGGGTCGCTGCGGAGGGCTGGGCGCACATGCCCGGGGAAGGAGAGCGGAGGGTGTCCCGCGGGTGTCCGGGAGAGAAGGGGAGACGGGCTTCCGCGGGCGCCGGGCGGTAGGGGATCTCCGCGTCCGCTGCAGCGTCGCTCGCCCCATCCTCTGCCGGGCCCCCTCAGCGCCCCAGGCTTCTCCCGCCGACACCGCGCCCCGCTCTCCGGGCCGCGTCAGCACCGGGCCGCTCGGGAACCCCGCCAGCCCCCGCTCCGCTTCCGGGACCCGCGCCCCATATCCACCAAGGTGTGCTTTCCGCTGACACTGTCCCGGCCGGAGCGAGGCCAGTCCAGCCAGCTGAGCCCCGCGCGGCCGCGGCGCAGGTTTACGCTCCCGCCGTCGAGGACTGCGGCGGCCGCGTGGGCGTGGGCCAGTCCCCGCGGCCAGGGGGGACAGGGGTACGGCAGGCGCCCTTGACCGTGGGCCCCGAGCGTCCGAGCCGCGCTGCGCCGGCGGCGGGCTTTATGTAAATCGGGGCTGAGCCGGGGCGTCCTAGGTAGGATGGACCAGCCCCCCGCGCCTCGGCCCTCACGTCCAATAAGAAGAGCCCCAGCTTGACACCTGCCTATATACAGGCGAGCGCGCCCCTGGCTCGCGGACCGAGCGCACATCCCGCACAGCCCACGCCGCGGGCGAGCGAGACCTCGGCCCGCCTTCATGACTTCCAGTAAGATCGAGATGCCCGGCGAGGTGAAGGCCGACCCCGCCGCCCTCATGGCGTCCCTGCACCTCCTGCCGTCGCCCACGCCCAACCTCGAGATCAAGTACACCAAGGTAAGGCGCCGAGAGGGCCTGCCGTCCACGGAGACTTTCTAGAACCTTCTTTCCTCTCCATGGTCTGTTAGGGGGAGAGGGTGGCGTGACGGGGTCTGGGGCCGGGTCTCCCGGGCCAGCCTGTCGTCCCCGCGCAGCAGAGGGACAACACCCCATCCTCGGCGTTGGGGCTTCTGAAGTCCTGCTGGGATCTTGGGGCGCGTCGGAGACTCGCCCCAGCTTGCCGCGCGGCGCTGAGGGTCGCCGTCAACGGCTCCTTCCCAAACCGCATTTGTCGCTGCCTTCTGGTCGGATTCTCAGCGTCCCGACTGCTGCGGGGAAGGCGTCGGCACCGCTTCCACTCCCCAAAGGGGTAAGAAGGGTTCCCCGCCAGGTCGGCTACGCAGCCTGGCCGTCTCTTCTCGGCCACCCACCTTCAGGGGCCGCAGGGCTGCTGGCCGCGCTCGGGTCCTCGGCAGTCCGCACGGTGCGCCGCGAGCGGCTTTCGCGTAGGATCGTCCGGCACGCAGCACTCTGGCCGCCTTTGCAGATTTCATGGAAACCTGGCTGCTGAGTACAGTAGATCCGATGTCAGCATTTCATTCGAATTCTGTAGGCAGTGGCAGTTTTCCTGGAAAACTTGAGACGTCTTTAAATTCGTGCAAATTAACGGGTTCGCTTTTGAACTGAAAAAAAAAAATTACTTTTTATAATGAACTCTGACATCTCGGGTTGGCCAAGCAGGAATTTTTTGTTGCACCACAACATAAAAAGGAAATGAGTTCGCTACCTTAATGTAAATAGAATTTACTTCCCACAAATTCGACATGGAAAAAAATGCATTGATTACACACACGGTGGGGGGAGCGGTTATGTTATGGCATTGGGGTGGGAGAGAGAGAGAAACAGATGCGATTTAAAATAATGTTTCTTGGAGTTCCTTTTACAGTTGTCCTGTTTGATTTTCTATTCCTTTTAGTTGATTTCTACTACAGACATCGCCCAATCAACTTAAACACATACTGCACACACACAATATGGTTAAAGTTGTTTTACATCATGCTTATTATGAGATAAACTAAATTTTGTCCAGAAGTAAATAGTTTGGTTTTGGCTTAAGGGTTGAAAGTGAAGTTTATAAAAAAAAATCCATCAGAATATTGAAATTTTACCTGCTAAGTTTTAGGATAAAAATCAGGGTGACTTGTGTTTTGAATGCCAACTTATATGGATTTAATGTACCTGTTAGCTTTTTAGATGGTGTGACAAATTCTTGAAAGCCATTTTAAGGAGAGGTCGTTAACGGTTACAACCATTTAGGCGTTGTTTGCATAACAATGGTACCAATGTGTGGCAATTCTCCGGGTTTAGGAACAAGCAGGGAAAGCATGCAGCAAAAGAGTTTTGTTTTATGAGGGTCCCTAACCTCTTCAGGCTCTCTTTAAAGGTCTTAGGATGCAAGAGCTATGCTGGAGAGAGGACTTCAGATTTGGGAGGGTTTGATTTTGGTCTTACTTTGGATTGGATTTTCCTCACAGCCCCTGAAAGGAGTTTTAGGTATCTAGGAATTTAATTTTGAAACTCTTCCAGTTCTCTTTTTCTCTGACAACCCTCGCTCTCTTCTTTTCTCTTGTTCTCCCCCAGTAGGAAAGACAACTGATTTATAGCTAATTGAAGCCTTTAATGTGGAGTCTTTTAGCTCAGGGGAGACTTTTATCCAGTATCCACTTTCCCACTTATTACAAAAACAAACAATCAAAAATGAAATAATGGATTGTAACTTGATTCTTTAATTTGTGGGGAGGAGGCACCTTATTTTAGGCTTGGCAAACAACCCTCATAAACACTGAGTATTACTAATCTAAAGGCAAGCTCTTTTCACAAAACCTTGTAAAATCAGGTATCTGTGAACATTCCCAGCAGCTTTCCTCCTCAGCTCTTTAGTGAGACTTCTGAATTTTCTGAGACAAGCGGCGTGGGCAAGCAGCATCTTGAACAGGAAGAGCAGAAGCTGCTCTTTTGGTAGCCGAGGGTAATGGGTAATGATTTTTTTTACTTAAAAGGAAAGTAAGATTAATGGAGAGTTTTTAAAAATTCACTTATGATCAGGAAATTATATTAGTGAGTTTAAGCAGAAGAATGAACAAGGTACAGTGCACAGTGCTTTAGAGCAGTGATACCACATTCATTGGGAATTTTTAAAAGGGTAATAGCTAAAATATTATTATGCTAGCATGATTGTTGAATAACACGTAGGAAAGAAATACAATATTTGTGTCAGAAAATGGTACAAGACAAATCTAGATGGATCCTAATAATTTTTGTCTTGTTAAACAAAAACTCTTTAGTGAAGGATATATAATGACAGGACTTTAAAAATATGACTTGAGGGCCAGTATAAAGTCACTACTTTTATGTAAGTGGTGATATTTTGAGTATTTCAAGTAGCATGCATTCAGAAAACTTTGCACTTGTGATGTTGTATTTTTCTGTATTTTTCACCATTTTCTTTCTTCTTCTAGAAGTATTTTACATTTTTTATAAAAGGGGAATAGGGGAGATCATACGAAATAAAAGTTACTGCTATTGTCCATCCATTGAAAATGCTCCAAAATTAAAGTTCAATCCCCAAGAACTCTGAAAGGGCTGAACTCGTGGTTTTGTATTGACTCTCAGGCAATTACACTTAGTTTTTCAAATAAGCCTTCCTCTCTGAAGTTCCAACACCCATTTAGAACTGATCATCAATAGCAATACCATTTTTTGGAATATATCTATTTTTGTTTTCCTAATACAGCAAGCTAGACCCCAAGTTTTAAAAGTGATTGTTTTTTTAAGGAATATGTTTAAACAAAACAAAACAAAAAACTGCAGACTGCATTAGTCAAGAAAGACTGATAACTCCACCAACATCAAGTAGCGAGGGGGCCACTTTGGGGCCGGGAGAATGTGCACTCTCCTCCTTGTACCCTAAGGAGGCTGCTGAACAGTAGCATAGGAGTGTTATTATTTTTAGCTGTGCTTTTATGAATTAAAGATTTTCTGAGTTGTTCCTGTTTTATCAGTCTGGTTTTTAAATTTTTGTATATCTGAATATATTATAGGAGTACACATGTTATAAAATCAAGGCTTGCTCTTTGCTGACTGCCCCTAACTGCAGGGGAGATCTCTTCCAGATTCCCAGAAGATCTTTGAAAACTTTCCGACTTTATCCCACCCCTACCTTCTCTATTGTCTCTATCACCTTTTCTGACTCTACTAGTCCCTCCTCCCCCCCCCCACTATACACACATGCATTGTGCTGTCTCTCTGTTGATCACTTTTCAGTGAGAGTTTATGCCCATAACTAACACTAACATAAAGGGTTTTGTTTTCCTCTAGCATTTGATAGTGTGAGGAGCTAAGACATAGGGAAGAAGGGGGTTATGGAGAGCTGAGCCACTAAACTAGAAGAGGAAAAAAATAAAAGGCAATTAACTGAAAATTAGAGCTAATGTTCATTGGGTAACTACTATTTATTCTTTTATTTATTCATTTAACAACATTTTATTGAACACCTACTGTTTTCTGGGATCAATTTCAGTTCAGTTTGAAGGATTTTTAAGTGGCATCTTCCTAACGACAGTGCTTTTCGTTAAGCTGGTTGGGCTGAGGAAGCATGGGCCTCCTAGGAGCTTAAGGTCTTTTTAGAAAGATGGGATGCCAAAATTTGGTTACCAGTATGGCAGTAATTCAGTTGATCAATGTAATAATAACAATAATGATAATACTTATAATGCCACTTACATTGTGTATGGGACCTAATGGCTTACCTAGCACTTTCATATGTATCTTATTTGGTCCTTGCAAAACCTTTTGAATGAGACAGAGTAGGAAGAAGTAGGAATAATTGATAAGGAAGACCTTGGCCTTGACTTATAAAAAATTGATAAGAGCTTTCCTCACCATACACTTTGCTTTTCCTAACAGCCACATACTGTTTTTTTGAGAGAAAGAGTTTTAAATCTTTATTTTTGTATATTGTTTCTGTTGCAAACATGGAGAGAATATGAACTGGTCTACTTCTTTTAAGAAGGAGCTACGTTTTGTGACTTCTGATTCCCTGACTTTAAATTACTATATTTGCTATCTCTATGAGTTAGTGGGGGGGTTTTATAGGTCTGAGGCAAGATTCTTGCCTATACCAGGGATTATTTCTTAAAAGATGGTACAGGTTTGGTTACTTCCAAAGCTCTAATCAAGATTGTCTGCTTGATCATTAGTTGTTAATCAAATTTCGCGTTTAGTGGGGACCTCAGGTCTTCAGAACTATACTTTTTCGTAATTGGACAGCTTTTTGATGTTTGTATCATCTCCATTTAACCCAGGAAAGCTAAACAACTTCATTGTAGGATTTGAATTAGATAACTTTTCGGGGGTCCTGCCTGATGCCTTCTACTATACAGGCAGGAATCATATAGAATCATCATTTGCTGAGGTGCTTTTGTCCTTTATTTCTATAAAATGAGGAATTATAGTTTCTCTATGTAAGAGTAGAAGATTCTCCGAGGTGCGTGTTCTGTGAGGTCTGATTTCCTTGCAGCCTGGCTTAAGAGAAGCCAGGCATGCATAAGTTCTCTGTTGCATTAGACGATGATTAGCGTGATGATCAAACCATGACCAAAACAAAGATATATCAAATATCAACATAGTTCTGTCTCAAGTCTTTCTCAGTTAGATAATAAAATACAAATACTAATGTCTATTTTTATCTTGTTAGTTATCTTAGTGACAGCTTGTAGGGCTCAGCAAACTATAGACTGTTTGATTTTGTAAATAAAGCTTTATTGTAACACAGCCACACCAATTCAATTAACATATTGTCTGTAGCTGTTACTACAATGGCAGAGTCAGGTAGTTACAACAGGACTGTATGACCCACATTTCAGAAAAAGTTTATAAGCCCTTGACTTAGAAAAAAGAAAGGCTCTGAATAAAAATAGGCCTTTGTTCAAATCTAGGTCAGATTTGTACTTCTTAGC